TGCACACAGAGCATAAGAAAGAACCACGCCATATTTTCAGCCAATCGGAACATTCAAAAACATATTCCATACCCCGCCGGTTCGGATGAATTGCATACTCAACGAGTCGTTAAATGTCTTCGTAGCCATCGTCTCAAACGAAGTTGCATGTGGCTACCGACATTTAAGCAGAAAGCTTGGGGAATTTTTTGATTGAATGGGAAGCTTTTGTGTCCAAAACATTATGTGTACATACATATGTATGTATATTAACTGAACTGAAGTTACACAACAGCGTTAAAGAGTTGCTTGAAGAAAGAGAAATGCTGATATCCGCTGAAATCGAAAAGCTGTTGAAGGCAAAATTTTATCACGGCTTCATGGGTCATGTCAATCGGGTTGCATTTGCACCAGTTAGTGCTATATCACGATAGTGGCACATAGCTACATTGATATCACGGAGTTGTGTATGTACATATATATGTTTACTCCATCGAAAAGTGTGCTACCACATGCTTGTGTACGATAAGCAAATTCTGCGACATGCCATCACACCATCGTGCCGAATTAACGCCGGCATTTACCTTCCCGGCTTTTTCACGCTTTTATCTTTGCGCAAATGTCAGTCATGCGCATTGCGGATGTAGAATACCACGTCAAAATCGCCTGATTTTCAGTATAACCTATTAAAAACAAAAACAAACGAAGAAGCTACTAGAATGTTTTGGGAGAACCATAGAAAGTAGAAGAGAGGTTTGACACAGGTCCCAAATTCGCGAATTGTTAATGGTCAACGTAATGAGCTTACGAGTATGACCAAAATGACTTGCGAATATTGAATTTACTCTCTTGCTACTCTTGCTATTCACACCCAGCACTTTGCTCACTGTTACTGGTTTTGTGGGCTGGGCCGGTAGTTTTGCTCCAAATGACTGCAAACGGTCGTCCGAAAGTGTAAGCTTAAGAGAACGCAAGCTCATCGAAGAGTCGGTCGAAATTAAGGGAACATATTTTTATTTGCGGCAGCGTTTGTTTGATAAAGAATATGTGATGCATATTCATATCTAAAAATATTCATAATATACACCTCTACATATACATATGTATTTGTATGTTTGTACATTTGCACAGGTACTTTTTTGTGATAGGTTATGTAGGTTAAAAAGACAGCGATACGCTGGGAGATAAATTATTGTAAAACAATAAAGTTATAATAATACAAAAAAAAAAAATAATATAAAATGCATCAATTATGTATATTTAAAATGCGAAATCTTGAATAATTACATAAATTTAATTGTTAAGTTAAAATCAACATGAAACGATATGTTGTCTGTAATAAAAGTAATCGAGTCGTTACTTAAAAGTCACAACTATCCTCATCCACCAAACCCAAAGAACCCCAATTTTTTATTTAATATAGAACTTTTATTTAATATAGAAGTTCCGTTTCCACGTTAGTCGGATCTACGTAACTGGAACGACCCCAGATCTTTATCTGGCCAAGAACTGTCAACCCGACAACATTCCTCCAAATTACTTCAACATTGTTTTTTGGCCCTACAGGAATAACCTCCCGACTTTTTGGATCGCTAGTAGTTTATAGAATGCATTAACACTAGTAACAGTTTATTTTAAAAGGCTTTATTAGTAGCGGAAACCGATAATTACTTTGTACTCTAAACTATTTCGTTAGTAAACCATAAAAACTTAATGTCAACAAATTGGCATCCTACTACTTAACAATCATTAGCTCTACTTAAATGGTTATCTTGACAATTAAGCAGTAATAAAATTTATTTTACAGTATTTGAATTCAGTTATAGATCTCTGCATTCGATGTCTAAATTTTCACATTTAGTTTAGCTGATATTTAGCACTCCACAAAATACATATGTACATATATACCTTTTTTTGCACTAAACAAAATGTTATTACATTGACAGTAATGAAGTTTAAAAACTTGCCTGCTGAAGGCAATAAAGCCACCAAAAGCGTCTACGAAAATCGAAAAAATCAGTTTGTTAGGTTAATATTTGCGAAGTTGGGCAATTTCTCACAGACAGGCAGACATATAGCAACACGATTGCCTTATTTGCTGTTGTAATTTTAATGCTTCTGTTACGAAGTCGCACCAAGCTTTTTTGTCCATTCATTTTTCTTCACGCACTTCGAAATCGGCCATAACAAAGGTGTACGTAAAAGAAAATAAATGTAGGTAATGTAAGTAGTTTTTATTTGGAACGCTTGTGTACGAATTCGTGGCCGTAGAAAATTCAGACGTGTGTGTGCCCAAGGTACAAATATACTTGCATATAAAATACGTATACTCCCATATATTCGAGTGCAAGTTCATGCACGACCTTCGGTTTATTCGTATGAATTTATGAATTCTGTGTCACAAATTTAGTTTTTGTCTAATTGTCTACATAGTCAAATAACCATTTATATTTATAAATATTTAATTTCAGTATTTTAATTGAAATGATTCATTGTCTTCATGAGTAATATGAAGTTGGCGCCGACTAACGCCTATCTTAAAGCTTCTACTGATAGTAAATGTAAATCACCGATCAATATCGATTACTATGATAGATGGATGACTCGTAAAGGTAGCTATTGCATTTTCCGGGTGCAATGATAACCTAAATTTAATTTAGATTCTACAATTTGGGGTGACATAAGCATAGAACCGCATAATGTCCACCATTAAGGCACTGTTTGATTCAGTATAGATTTAGAAATATATACTTATGCAGAAATAGCGGCAAAGTGAAAGTGAAATGTTTATAAGCACACAGTCGGCAACAGCGAAAGAAAAATCGGAAACGCAAAATTTTCAAAAAGCACTTTTGAATGATAATGCTAAAAAAATATAAAGCATATTTGCATAACAGGTGTGTGGATGTATGTATATGAAAACAACCTACATGTACTAGCTCATCAAACAAACAGGACTCAGAAAAGTAGTTAAATAAAGTAAACTTCAAAAAATATTGATTCCCAGAAAAAAATAAGAAAATTGTAAACGACTAAAACATAAAAAATCAGCTGTTTTCGTTTTCTTCTTCTTGCTGCTCATATGATTTCGAAGCGTATCTCTTTTAAGCACATTCTTCACCACTCACGAAGTTTTTCTATTTCACAGACAACAAATGCAAGGCAGCACAAACATTTTAGATTTGTTAGACTAGCATATTCATGTACGTATAATGTATTGGATCATTGTTGTATAGTGAAGCAAGAATGGGAAAAATTATTAAAATATAGTAGCGATATAAAATTCGAATATAAACTGACTCCTAACATTCTTTAATACTTGCATTTGAGTTAATTAACTGCTATCAATTAACATTAAATCGCAGTAAAGCTAATCTTAAACGTATTTTCTTGCTTAAGTTAATAAAACTGGAAATAATTGTAAAAAAATTACTTAAACAAATAGGAACACCGACATATTCAACATATTTTTCTCCAAAGAATATTTGCGGAAATCTATACTTAAAATAAGAAAAATAAAATGAAATGTACATAACGTGTATACAAGCAAAGGTTGGAATTACATTAAAAAATAAAAATTAATTTAGGGGTTTGTTTTCTGAACGAAAATAATCTGCACTTAAAGTAATGGATAACAATTTGTAGAAGCAAAAGTAGCGGAAGTCAATTATAAAATTTTAAATTGTATTTCGTAAAATATTATTTATAATGAATTGGATAAACTATATTGTCCTTAAAATCTATTTTCACGTGAAAGCGTGATTAAATGAACACTGTATACGTATTGGTACAAGCCCATATGAGCGAAAAGAAGTTCTCATTTATTTTTTGAATAGAATAGTTAATTGGAGAATCAGTTTTGGCAGAACAAATACATTTACAAAAACATATATTCATATACATATACAGTGTACCCCGGATAATTGCACAATTTTTCGTTCGACAAACCGGGGAATCAATTCACTTTCTAATATTTTTGAAATGTTAATTGAAAAGGTGTAATGTTTTTTGTAGATTGTTCAATAATTCACACAAAAACTTGTTTTCAGACTAAAATACGGAAGTTCTTAGTATGCCAGATTTTTAGGTAAAACCTTTAATCGAAGGAAATCGAAGGTATGTACATTTTTGTCAATAACACTTATTTTTTATCAATAATACGGCGTAACCAAATAAGCGGATTTAATTATGCGGAAAAATTTACACATCTTTTATACACACAGTTTTGGCAGATCAGGTGGTTCAAATAAGCGGGAAAATCAATTGGCCGGGGGTCAATTAAGCTGGGGATACTGTACTAAATAAATTCAATACAATGAGCTCTCCGGCATTGGGCACTTCGGCACATTACCGACTCATACGATAAATCATTCCATACTCATATGCTACGTACGTCACAACGTGGCGTGGTATCTAACTGCTATATGTGTACGTACATATGTACATACGTGTATGTATATTATTTATGTGAAGAGCGTGTATTTTATTGAGGAATGGTGACGGCAACACGCACCGACATCATGTTCATTCAACACTTTTGTGAGATACATTGGTGTGTATCTATGACGACTAGGTTTTCTAAAGAGACTTAACACATACTGAGAGCGTTTAAGTTACATACATACATACGTCCATAGAGATAGACAGCCGTTAATAAAGATTTAAATACTTTTAAGCGATTAATAAATCTGAGAGATGGGAGGTAAATAAATATCGCAGTGCCCACTGGCTAGCACCCGCACAAACATTCGTTTGTGTATGTGCTTATGCATCCCGCTGACCTTAAGCACCTAACTTTGATAAATGCAGTGCGCCTTTCGTTTTCACTGACATCTTCTGATTTAACAAACGTGTTTGTTGTGGTTTTTCAGTTGTCACGAGTGATGATGACCCTACCACGAGTACAGAGATTGATAATTACAGGGGTATCAAGTCAGCAAATCGGAAACGTGCAAACTTTTAGAGAAAAACATGCCCACAGATATATGTATTTAAAATTTGTTATAATGGTTGACACCTACCGACTATTCTCCAGTTTGGACATTTCTCTGTATGCGCTCATTTTATTGTATTTATTGTAGATTTATTTTGAATTGCAATAAAGCTGCACTCGTTGTTGTAGGGGCAAAAATCGGTCGTTTTGCGGTTGCAAACGTTTTAGTTGATATTTCCACACTGCGAAAGGCTTTGCTGTGCTTTTTGGTTTTTTGCTTAAAATTCGTTTTTGGTAAAACTTTATAAAATCACGCCACCATTTGTTTTTGATTTGATAATTTTGCTGTTGCTTTGCAGCGCTTTCGTTGACGTTATGTGTCAGACTACAAAATCCAATTCGATTCACTTGACACTTTCACTTGAGCCTTCTCAGCCAATTTTGTGTAAATCAGACAAAATGTTAACAGTTTTTATTGGAACGAACTACCGATTTTAAACAATTAGTCACCGAATTAACGTACGCACGATTTATTCCTTTAGAGAAATGTGAAAATTCAGCAAAACAAAAATTTCGTAATTTTTAATGTTTCTACCACATTTTATGAATCTTCTCGTTATGCTTTACTTTTCGAGTTTCGATTAGATGCGTTGGAATTGGTTGCACGAATATATGGCGTATGAGTCTCAGCTGACCGCAGTTGATTCTCCGGTGCTTTTGTTTTGCTTTTCAATTGTTGTAGCTTTTGACAAGATTTTTATGCTGACGCTCACACACTGGTTTTGCTGGTGGAAACGACTTTGTGCGGATTACGAAATAATCACCAAATAAACTGTAAGCAAACTTTTGACAAAATAACTTTTGTTGTTCTTTTCAAAGGGGTTTTTTTATAATTTCTTCGACGCTGCAGGAAGTTGTACTTTTCTTTTTGTTCAATACTGTTGCGAAAATTCACAAAATATGTGCTCCTTTGTGTACAAAAACTTTGAAAATATATTCAAGTTGAAACCTCTAAAAAAAAAGAACACCGAATTTACAAGTATCTGGTAGATACAAACAACCACAACGACCGAGCGCTACTTCACAAATGACATCCGACCAAAACATGAGTCAACTTTTGTATAGGCGGGAGAGCACTTTGCCGAATGGAGTATATTGCAACGGCGCTGCTTCGGGCGGGTAGCGAGCGTAAAAGAGAGATAGATTTAGTTAAATTAGTAGAATGCAAATTTTGATCTTAAAATGTTTCTGGTAACATAGACAAAGTTATGCTTAAGCTTTCAGGATCCAATTTAGATTAAGCTACAATATTTTTAGTTTTGATAACTAGTTACGCCTTAAAGTTACCATTTCTTTGCCAGTGATAAAACTTTAAAGAAGAAACTACATATGTTTTGAAGCTCTTAACATTTGTAGCGATTTTAAAATTCCGCATTTCACAAAAATTAAAAAAAAAATTCTACACTACTGCAGTCAACATTCTCCTTAATCTAAAAATACTTGTGTAAGTACAAAAAATATTGTTTATAACTGCACATCACCGAGGGATCATTGTAATATTTCAAGACAAGCACAACGTGTTTTTTATAATTGTATATAATTAACGGATTCCCAAAAAATCTACAAATAATGAATTCACTAAGTGTTGTTATTCCCAGCCAACAACCTTGAAATTATTACTCCTCTTTTCACAATATAAGCAAAGGTATATTTGAGACTGCACCTTACCAGCACAGTACTGACAACTGTGAATGTCGCTCCCGTGAGCCTACCGACTCGTTTAGTGTCAACGACAGACAGTAATGCTCAGTAATTTTCAAGCTGCTTACTCTCACAAATGCTCTTAACAGGGTGTTTACTCTTAAATGGGCGTTCTCTTTACGTAATTAATTACAATAATCATTATGTTTCCATTTTTGATGGCCTTCGTGCTACAACAAAATTGCAGTCTCTTTGTATACATATATATATATATATGGATGTGCGTATTTAGAAATCTCCTAGTGCTGTAACTATTGAGGGTTGTTCTGAAATACGTTATGGTTTAAATTTTGATGCCTAAATTCCTTGCGTAATTATTTTATCGTGATTTAGAATTGTTAATGCTTTCCTACTACATACATATTATGACGATGAAAAATACCTGTATTTGTATAAAATGGAGAAATTCTTATAAATCTGTTTATGGACTGCTTTTTGAAATACCCACGACGATAGCGTAAGTATCAAACCTACCATCCTGGAAATCAAATCTCAATACTTCATATTTGAACTTCCAATATTTTCCGATAGGAGCACGGAATGAGAAGAAGTTTAATGTCGCAGTAGCGTAACATGAGTCCTTAATATACATATGTTCATATATTGATCTAAATTTCTATACTAATAAAGAGTTATTCAAAATAGAAGCGTACCACATTAATTTTATAAACCTACCTCTACAATGACCATAACAAACCAGAAGTTTTTATTATATAAACCAGGAGTTTTACAAGCCTTGCTTTGATGAAGCTGGTATTTATTATTTTTGTAAAATACATATGTATGTATGAGTATTCACCGGAAAATTTGTGTCAAGGGCGACGTAAATCTTTAAATTGGAGAAAACACGAACAAACGTTAATTTAGGTTCCACTGAAGCTTTAATACCCTTTACAAATATAAAAGTTTTCCATACAAGGAGTGATTTTGAATCAGTCAGTTTGTCTCACAGCTATATATGTATATGATATAGTGGGCTGATGTGAACAATTTCTTCGTGAATTGCACTGGTGCCTCAAATAATAATACATACCAAATTTTGTCAAAGCAAGAATGCTTTCAATACGACGACTGTAGTTTAATCGATCAGTACATGTATGTATGTAATGACTACTACCATATACCTACGCTGTAGTGGTTCGATATAGGCGGTTCCGAAAAATGAGCAGCTTCTTTGGGTGAAAACACGGAGTTGACTTAGTCAGCTTATATATACCTTACAAGGTATCCGAAGTTTCCTTTTGGGTGCTCAGGGTATAAAAATCTTTAATAACAATGGAGAGTAGATGTGAGATTTTTGATTTTGTTTTGAGGTTGTAAGCCACAGAAATAACAATGTAAGACCGTTTTCGTATATTTTATAATTTTTAATAAATTTATTTCGATTTATGCAGTTTGAGGGAAAGCGTAACAAATTGTGGAAAAAATACTTATTCAATATTTAGTTATTAATATTGTATTTAGCTTATTTATGTGCGTTGTTGTTGCATATTACAGACAATATGCATACACATATGCATGTATGTAAGTGTAAGTAGAACAGTATTGTATATATGTATGTATGTGTACCCACATTTAGAACTTCACTTTTCAGATTGGGTTTCTTCGGAGTTTTAAGCGAATGTCGGGTGCCATGCCGCTGCTTCTGTTAAGACCGTATGTGTATATGTGTTTGGGTTTTAAGTTTGCTGCTTGCAACTCTTATTCGCAAGTGATTTTGTTTCACTGTTTTAAATAGTTTTGTTCTTGCAGCTTTGCTGCCTTATCCTGCGTGTGAATGCTGCTTAAGGATACTTGAAGGTGTTGCCTTTAAGTATTATTTTATTCTAAATTAATTGCATCGGTTTTATTAGCATCTGGCTGCGTTATGTTCTGTTTCATCCACTTTGCATTGCCTTAATTGATGTTTTTATATTGTTTATATGCCATATTTTATTATTATTTGTAATATTTTGAAAAAATTTTTTAAACTAATTTACACATACATATGTACATATACATATACGTGTATAGAGCTTACATACGATTTTTTTGCATAAAAATAAATGCCTTTCAAAAATAGTACTAACGCGCTTGAAACCATTTCACAACGTAAACATCCGAGTATCTGTGTGACTTTCGTTTTCTATTTTATTGTGTTCGATTATGTTTCAGTATATATATATATGTATATTTTTTTAATTAAGCACTGATGTTATATTATTAAACACATATTATTTCTTTAAAGTATAAATGCTATATTGAAATTGTATTTATGCCGTTGTTGTTGCTAAAATTTTTATTAAAATCGGCTCATCTTTGGCTATTTTCAGTTTTTAGGCCCTATTACGGGTTTCAACTCAACTGAATTGCTATTGAATAGTTGTCAAACTTTAACTTTTTTTTGGGGTGTTACGGTTTTCAACTACATATGTGTCAGCGTGGTTGACTAGAGTATGAAAAAACTACAACTGCCACCAAGCATTCGTTTGGTTAGGATATTAATAGAAAATGGAAAGGGTAAATAAACTATTATATGATATATGTATATCGTTACCTAAAATGCAAAATAACGTAACATTATTTTTCAAAGGTTTTCAGGCGAAGAAAAAGACGGTTTGTAGAGCTTGCGGAGAAAATGCCGAAACTGGAACACATAAGCTACAATTTGAAAAACTTTTACCAGGAATATACCTTTTGAATAAAAATTTTGAAGCGTTTCCTATTCAGTCATTTGTGTACTATTCAAAATTATTAATAGAATTGTTTTGATTTTTCTTTTAAAAATTTTCAGCTGTTTATTTATAAGTCAAATATTAACTTTCTAATTTCTGCCAATACTAATGAAACTTCAATTGAAAATAGTTGAAGTTCTTAATACCAAAAAAGGGTTTAAATGATCTGAACTTGAATTACTTTAACTTCAATTTAACTGAGTGCAGTTGCACACCGTAATAAGGATAATAATTTAAAGTTATTGATAAAATACAACAAAGCTTAAATTCATAATCTGTTCCGGTGTCACTAAGTGTCGTTGCACATGCGAAACGTGCCTGTTACCCCGATTATTTCTCGATATTCCTAGATGGTTAAATCACAGTTCTCGACAGTGAAAGTTATTTAGCTTTAAAGAAAAGAACAGAAAACGTTACCTTCTTTTATATTTCAATAATTATAAAAGAACTTTTTCTTGAGTTTGATCGCTCAGTTTAAACGACAGCTGTATGCCATCGGACCAACACGTTCTGAACGAAGTTACTTCCTTTACATTTTTGATAACAGGGAGTTGCACATAGTTTCAATATTGAAGTTACAGCCGTTTCATTCCCAGATTTATTTAAAGTAACTTCATTTCATATACCAAAAAGTACAATAAAAATTATTAAAAAACCATAAGATTGTCTATAGAACTTTATCTCTCTTGGCGCAGGAAGTTCAAAGGGAATCGTTAATATGCATATATTATTCGATATATATACACAACTCTTTATTCGAAATTAGCAGAAATAATTGAAAAAAATTTCATTAGCAAACAAAACAAGCATTTCGAAAACAACTTTTTTTTCGCCACAATTGCGAATTTCAACATCGATCGAGTTGAGTAATAAATTCTAGCAGCGATCATTCATGTGCGTTTGTAGTAATATAAGACAACATCAATTATATCCGGAAATCCAATAAAAAGAATAATTATTAATTAGTGACTTTTTGCCGTATCTAACAATGAAATTCACAGCGAATTGAATTTAACATTTTCAAATTTCAGTGAATTATTTTAGAACCATAGGTGTATGCA